CCCCCTCGTCCACAGCTTCATTGCGTGTGGTAGGACAAGAGGGCCACACGCCCCTGCGCATTTGAAAGGGTTTAACCTCCTAGAAACGGAGGGTGACACACGCGCAGAACCTGAAGGGTGTTCTGAACTGAAAGCGGTGCCACACGCCGGCCTAGGGTTCCAATTCCTAAGGGTACAGGTAAGGAAACCTAAAAGGAAGTGTAGGTCCATCTAGCGGAGGTCCCAAAGGTTGCAGGTGGCCAGCAGCTCCAAAAGAAAACACCGATCGAGCGGACGACAAGGTGACGACGTAGCGTGCACATCTGCAGAACTCATTAGCCCTTTACGGCCTTTACGTGAAGATTGGAGTAAAAGCTTGTCAACGCCACAACCAAGCAGCCCGAAGGGAGGCATGTGTGACCTCCATCATGCCCGGAAAGGAGGTAAGCACATGTGCACGCAAAAGGGACAGATGAAAATGAGAAGGACAAGACAGACAAAGGTGTGTGTGGTTGCCGATGAAAAGGAACCAAGTGAAGAGGGACAACCGATGAGCCAAACCTCATTGTAACGAACCTGGGCCACCTGAACCTCGTTGTAAGTAGAGTACGCGTGCGTGTATGTGTACAAACTAAGGTCCGGACGAAAGTACACGCAAGAGAAAGAAAGGATGAGGATGAAAAGACATGAAGACAGAAGGACATGAAAGGAAAGAAAAAAGTCTGTGGGGGCGGATGAAGGGGGAACCAAATGAAAGGGGGCAAACCGATGACAGTCCAAACCTCATTGAGAAACCTGTTGCAAAAGCCTAGTTTGCTTGTTAATACGCCACGCACGAGGAAAGAGGGGGGAGGGGAGGAGGAAAAGAGAAGGAGGGAGAGAAGGAAGCAAAGGTGTTCCCAGCTATGGCACAAGCGTCCAAGGACACACCAAAAAGGAAGGGCTCCCAGCTATGACGAAAGCATCCAGGGACGCCCAAGGAAGAGGGTAAAGAGAGGAAAAAGAGAAGGGAAGAAAGAGAGAGGGAGAGAAAGGGAGAGGAGAGAAAGGAAGGTGTTCCCAGCTACGAACAATCGTCCAGGGACACACCAAAGAAGGAAAGGGGAGATCCTGAGTATTACATCCAGGAAAACCCCAGAAAGCAAGGAAAGAAAGGGGGGAGGGCAGGGGGAGAAGGGGGCTAAGTTCTCCACAGGTTCCAATGAACCTTGAATAAACTTCGGTCGCTGCGACCACGCACGGCTTGCCCAGGGGCTGCCACCTTTGACCGCTACGGTCACGTACAGGCATAAGCCAGCTTGGAATTCCTAAGATGAAACAAAATCGGAGTTCTGGTGGCATGAGCCAGCTACTGTCCGCTTCGGACACGTACACCTCCGGGCAGGGGAGATAACGACGTACCCCCGTTCGACGGGTCCACGGGAGGCACTCTGCGGGCTCATCCCGGGTTGGCACGAGGCCAAACACACTTAGGATAGGGTGTTCTGAACTGAAAGCGGTGCCACACGCCGGCCTAGGGTTCCAATTCCTAAGGGTACAGGTAAGGAAACCTAAAAGGAAGTGTAGGTCCATCTAGCGGAGGTCCCAAAGGTTGCAGGTGGCCAGCAGCTCCAAAAGAAAACACCGATCGAGCGGACGACAAGGTGACGACGTAGCGTGCACATCTGCAGAACTCATTAGCCCTTTACGTGAAGATTGGAGTAAAAGCTTGTCAACGCCACAGGTACGTGGATTCTGCGTCCAGAATCCATATCAGTGACTTGTAACAGCCTCTTCGTTGGACTGCCACTGTTACAAGCCAGGCAGTCCCCCTGCTGTAACATAAACTGGAAAAACAAACCTGAAAAATCCAAGAGGATCCCTATGATTCCAAGGGTTACACACACACATTGAATCACATCGCTATGTCCACCATCTCCGTTGCAAAATAGACTCGGCCCTAAGGTGTTGGACAAACACTCCTGCTTAGCGTGTGAATGAGTGCGCACTCACAGGAAAATAAAAGACTGCAATGTCTAATGTAGATGCAACCTTCGACCTGAAACTCTGACAGGGTTGTTGCACTATATAAATGCCCCATAAATCCAAGCTAGCATACAACTGCTGACATTTGTACATACATCGTGCGAAGAACAAACACAAACGCAACAACATATCATACAATCCTCTACAAAGTCGTACTGTCGATCAACATGTCAAAGCTATAGTTGTCACTGCGCGTTTTACTCAGATGTTGCATGGGAGATCGCCAACTAGTGTGGTGACAGGTTGCCTCTATTTAAACCTCAGCAACACCACCACATCTCCCATTTCAACCCCCCCAGGCTGCAGCTTGATCTGGATGGGTTTGGGTCTGACAAGGTTCCAAGCAGCAATCTGCCTCCAAGTCTGGCTGCTCTTGAGCCTTTTTAGATGGCGCACGGCTGGCCGAATCCATCAAGAGCTTCAATGCAGCCTGGGAATGCAAGGAGTGTCGGAGCTGGATAATTTGTGCCGCTTTGATGGATGCGGAGTCCTTGTCCTCCTGTTGCTTCCTTGGAATATCTTTGGTCTCCTTCTTGGATGGTCGACCAATTTTGGGCGCTGATCCTGGGCGCAGCTCGCACCTGCCATGCGCAAACTTGCATCCTAGGCTGCAAAGGGCGAGTCTTCGCTCGAACATGCTCCGACCGACCTGCCCTGGGGATCTCTTCAGAACAAAAAACAACAAGGTATAGAGTTAGCATAACCTTAAGCAAACCTGAGCATCGATCTCCTTCCATGCAACTGCCAAGTTCCACAAAGTCTGCGCACAACCTCGTCTTGGAGAAGTCTGGCTGTTGCTTCAGCTTCTCTTTCCCATGTGCGAAGGCACATGCCTCACCACGAGTGCACGCGCCCACTACAAAGAATCGGCATAGACGGGTCTGTTTGTGCACCTGAAGTCGCTTCATGTCCTTCTCATAGTTCACGACAGCGGCCATGGCGATTGGTCCAAAAACAGTTTCTCGACGCCTGCAGTTCTTGCTTTGAGCCTTTCGGACGGCCAAATTATCGTCACCAGCTTCGTGAGAGAAGCCGTTTCTTCACGTCTGCTTCTCTTCTCTATAATATAATGTCCAAAAAACCGCTCTGTTGGGCAAATACGCTGGGTGGAGCTGCCACCCGCCATACCAACATTGTTCGTTGACATGGACCTGACAAACTGCAGCGCCTGCAACGTCAAGCGGGAACCAAGCGGAAACGGCCAAACAACACCTAAAACAATCCACCTCACAGGTTGAACAGTTGGTAAACACTTCGCCACAAAAAGTGGAAGACCATGGAAGACCACTAGTCATGCAATCGACGATCTGTTTAGCGGTGCCACGATTGACTGATATTGCAGCTGCTTCTCTCGCTGATTCTTGTTGGCTTACAACGGAAATTGGTTCTGGGCAACCTGAATCAACATTATATTGATTTGCGGCACGCCCTTTCTTCCTCGCTTGATCCTGGTCGCTCAATCGCGGATCACGGTGGTCTTGCCCCGTGTCATCCGTCGCATGACCTGCCGGTGCACAAAGGTTTACAGGACGACATTGATGGCAACAAGTGTAGGCGACGAGGAAGCCCTTCAACGTCTTTTCATGTCCTTTCTTGGTCTCTTGAGTGCCGGTCATTTCCGAGACTAGAGTGGCTGTACACAAAAAAAAGGCGTGAGACGTTTTCTGGAACGGTTGAGGGGCCCGTGCTTCATCAGACTTTCAGTCTATCTAGTGCGTCTCAGCTTTGCTCTTATGCGTCTTGCAGCCTGATACAAATACTTGCCGCGAGACTGTTGACCTTGCCCATGTCCTGCTAAAATGCTCAAAGCAATAGGCATCAACAGGCCAGTTCGGAACTCACATCTTCAACACTACCAGCTACCAGACCACACCTCTTGGCTTCTGAGGGGCTACCAGGACATGGGCGGCATGGGAGCACAAGAATTTGGCGCTGTCAGCTCTGGCAGTTCCTATGCCAGGACTACGCTGCCTTAAAAGAACTTTTGACTTGACTCAACCGTGCCGCTTCGGCGTTTAAAAAGCCATATGCTTGCTACTTAGAAAAGGGGCACTGAGCGCGTGCGCCGCAGGACACCTTGGTCCTGCTCAGTGTCACTTGTATCGCTGTCACTGACCTCAATGAAGGTATTCTTGACCTGGACCTGCCATTCACCTGAGCACAAAAGGTCAGGTGCTATACACGTCGACAAACGTCGAATGTCATATCCAACGTTTGCGCTGCTTGAGCCCCACCTGGGCACACCCGCAAAAGACAATGACCATGGCCTCCAACCTAATAGCCATGGTCCCTGTTACTACTAGTAAGGCACTTGATACTAGTAGCTTCTTTGTTACTACTAGTAAGGCACCTGTTCCTAGTAGCGATGCACTTGTTACTAGTAGCGAACCTTGTTACTAATGGCCTCCAACCAGTCGTAGCATGGGACTTTCGACGACTCGAAAGTAAACATGTGTTAGGCCCGGCTGTTGGGCTCGTTCCAAGCAACAGCTCCTCCGACCCAAAGTCGACGGTCGACCGTTTGGACCCACCGGAACGACGATGCTATGGCTAATGACCCACCGGAACTGATGAGAAAACTCATGGGGGCTGCTAATGATATAGACAGGGTCAGGATTCCCTTGGAATAATATATACTTTAATATACTTTAATGAGCCGCCCATGAACATTCGGTCATTTGACGCTTGAGACCTCCGAAGCCCCGGAATAAGGAGACCATGTCAGCTCGCATCTGTTCGCCACCTCTTTCACCTATCAATGTCAATGACTCTCAGGAGAATGAGGAACAAAAAAACATGTTCAGCGATGTTAATCGTCGGCACAATTTATGATCTTCTTGGGGAGTGAATTGGGGACAGCATGGAGCTGGAAGATGTGTTTAGTCTATATAAACATGTTATATAGTTCACACATAGACATACATAGACTATATATGACTATGAACAGCATTGAGTGGACGAGGCAGTTTGAGCTGCCGGCAGTGCTTCGGGTGGTCACGATTCTTGGCAATGTTTTTTCACCAGCGTTACATCTCAGAAAAAGCACGGTTCGATCTGCCCCCCCAAACAGAATAGTGAACCATGCGAAACCAACCCTCCAAAAACATCAAACAGTTGTTCGATCGCTTCACCATCGCCTCTCTGTGTGTCACCTCCCGTGACTGTGTCACCTCTGTCGAGTCGCTGAGTTCGGGGAGCGGCGGGGGGACACCCGCAGTCCTGTCTGGCAACGGATCCCAAGCACTTGCCAAAGAAGTGCCGCGGCTGAAGGCGGCGGAGGCCGTGTCGATGCCCTCCCAGGTGGTCTGCCGGCTGAAAGAGCTCGGCTTTTCCTTGACCGCCATGTCAAACAACATTGAGCACCGAAAACATCCGAAAACGGCTTCAACCAAAAACCCCAAACATCGTTTATGACTCGTACGAACATGAACTCAAACCGCGGTGTGTGCATGTGATTGGGGTGGGGGGTCGGCGGTTGGCAAGAGCCAGAACATCTGAAGGACCTGCTGTCAAGTGCAGTAGGCTTTGGGAGCCAAAGCAACCTTCATGACCTGTCAGCGTGGTGATGTGTACAAGGCGAGCGGGAGGGGTGAATGAACGGACTGTCCGCACCTTCCCCAGCCGTCTGCTACCATCTGTCGAACCCCATAGCACAAGATTCTAATTCTAAGCAGAACGAGGCTCTAAGCAGGAATCTGCTGACTCGATTTCTGGCTGCTTGTTCGGCTGCTTCGTGCTCGCCCCCCCCATCAGGAGGTTCAATGCAGCCTGAGAATGCAAGGAGTGTTGGAGTTGAAGAATCTTGGCCGCTTGAATGCCTTGCACGGCTGCAGGGTCCTTGTCCTTCTTCTCTGGACTATCTTGCATCTCTTTCTTGGATGGTCGGCCAATCTTTACAGCGGAGCCTGGGCGAAGCTCACTCTTGCCATGGGCGAACTTGCATCCTTGGCTCCCAATGAGGTGATATGCACCCGACACGATTCACAGATTTGATATTCCAGTGATTACAGTATCATGTGTGTGTGTGTGCCAACCTTAGGTGGAGTCTTCTTGCTGGAGTCTTCTAGACTCTTCTAGCTTGTAAAGTTGAAAGCGGCAAAATAGCGACACACACACAAACAAAGAAGCTTTCCGAAACATAAGAGTCCCAAGTCTCCCTCTCCTTCTGCGCAGCTGCCCAATTCCATAAAGTCTGCGCACAACCTTGTCTTGGAGAAGTCTGGTTGCTGCCGCAACTTGTCTTGTCCGTGTGCAAACGCACATGACTGACCACGAGTGCATTTGCCCATCACGAAGAACTTGCAAAGGCGGGTCTGCTGATGCACCTGAAGTCGCTTCGTGTCTTTCTGTGGAATAGAAGCATCAGCCATGGTCTCAGGCGTTCTATGTCAAGCACGGACCTTCAAGCAAGGACCTGCCTGGCTACCTAATTACTGTGTATGGTCTTGAGCCGATTGAGCAGGAATGTGCTGTAGCACGTGTTTACGTCAGCTCTCGCAGTTCTCAGTTCTCGATTGCGCTTCCTCTCAGACACTTCTAGATCTTAAAGCTTCACTTGCGAGTGTGGGGGCCCCGGGGCTGTCAGGTCCTTCCGATAAACGACGTTACTATACATATATACATATATACATATAATATTTTCTTGTTCACTGCCAGCTTGTGGGACAGTGCAGCAGGTAAAACTCTGAGACTCTGCGAACGGCGAACGCATGTGCGCTAGCCAAGTGGCCGTGGTCTTTTTGACATGGAGCAAAAAATGGTCTCGCCTGCTCAAATTCCTCGTCGATGGCCAAATTTGCTTCAACAACCCCAACTGCATTCTCTGCACTGAAAGTGCCTGGCAGAAGGAGTTAACAACAATAAAAAGCGAAGTTCTTCCTTTAGTCACGGCACAAGAGAGGGGAAGTGCAGCACTGGAGGACCAATCTCATGATTCGAAACAACACCTACTACCACTGCTAGCTGAGAAATTGCTCGGGCGCACGAGAAGAGAAAGCCACCATTCGCAACATCTTGAGCTTCCTTGGAAGAGCGGCACATGTCTTTCAGGGCAGTCAGGGCATGTATAAAATCATATTGGCAAGCTACTGTAGGATATTGCAGCTGAGCTTGTATATGGGACCACCAGCCTTCCCAGTGAAACCAACTAAATGGACATATTGACCCTTTCTCTACCAGTATCTGCCTGAAAATGCGCAATCTTTAGCAAAACCAATCTTCTCCTCAAACGTCTTCATGCCTTTTCTCGCTCCTGGTCGGTGGGATGGCATCCTTTGGCCATCTGTTTGCTGACAGTCGGCTTTTTTCGCATCAACTGATCCGTCCTCTCATCCTTCCGCCTCAGGCTCCCAAACAGAAGGCTTCGAAACCTCTTCCAAAGAGCTCAAGGGTCGTCCAACCTGAAGCATGCGTTGCCCCACCAAGGTCTCCATGGAGGCCATGGCTCCAACCAAATGGCTGTCATTTTTCTCAGTTTTCTCCTTCGCAGGTTGCTCCAGCCCGGCGCTCGCCAAAAGCTGCCTCCCCAAACGGCCCACGGCCTTCTTGCGCCGTGTGGGTGCCTGCTCCTCTCTTCCTGCGCGCTGCAGTTCAAGGCGTGCCTGGCACAAAGCCTCGGCATCATCCACGGCATCTTCCAGAATCTCCTCTGCCTGTGCTTGCTGCTGCTCGATCTGCGCACAGGCTGCGTTCCAGGCCTCCTGCTGCTTCACGCGCTGGAAGCGGCGCAGGGTGGCGGTGCGGTCGCCCTGACGCTGCAGCAGCTCCCGCTCCGCGGCCAGGGCCTCAGAGCGAAGCTGATGCGCTTCGGCTTCCAGGAGCTTCACGGCTCCACTTTCACGACCTAATTGGAGCTCGTGGGAGGCCACGGCCTCCAAAATCTCTTTCATCTCTCCATCTTGATTCAAGGAGGCCGCCATGAGGAAGTTCAAGGAATTCACAGCTTCTCCAATAGGTGGCTCTTCCAAATCATTGGGCACCCAATCTTTTGGCTTCTCCAAGGCTTCTGACGCGCTTTTCAACTTCTGCAAGAAGCAGCTGGACTCGTCAGAGACCAGGCTCCAGGCTGCTGGGCCTGCACTGCGCCGGAGCAGCTGCGCCCAAAGCTCCACTCCTGCACCCGAACCAGCGATCCGTGAGCCACCGGAACATGCATATGAACCAAAAGTTGTTTCGGGAATGTTTGGAAGAGGTGACTGAGAGGCGGAAGGCCAAACATGAGCAGACATGCACAGAAATGAATTTGTTTGGTTCAAAACGCCTCTTAACTTCCTCACTTCCTCACCTGCTTCCCCACCATGGAGCTGAAGTGTTTGTGCCACTTCGACAACATCGTAGGCTTCCAAAGTTCCCACTATCGGCGAGAAAAGGCTGGGTGCTGCACGCAAGTTGTGATAGGAGGTCTCTTGCGGGTTTACCTGGATGGGCCAACTTCGCACACCATGGAGAATGGTGGAGATGTTGTGGGGACTTTTTGCCAGCTGATACTTCAAAAGGGTTGCCATGTCGCGTCTTGCTTTCCGACCGCACATGATCCATATCAGCCCTGCCTGGTAAATGCCCTTGCCACCTTCGGCTTTCGCCATGCATGGCTCACATCAGGCCAGCGATACCCTCCTTGAGAGGTGCTTGAGCCCCAGATCTGGAACTGTCTGTCGCTTTGATAGTGTCAATTCCAAATTCTTTCAAAGGTGAAGTTGAGCAACGAAACTATAATCCCTTGTTCGTTCAAACAGCAAGCTAGCAGGTCCAAGATTCATTCCCATCCTTTCTGATGCACCTTCAACGCTTTTTTTTTCTCCCGCCGGGACCCCAATCCGGAACTACACTGAGAGGAGGCACCGGACTGCACGGCGAAAGCGAGCAGCTGGCGGCAAAGCGGTTTTGGGTGCCGGTGCCTGAGATTCTGCAGTGCATGCAACATCGACCTCGCCTCAAAAAACCATGGTTGTGGTTGTGGCGTGGTGGACGATCCGCGAAACATCTGGAGACTGTGTGAGACTGCGGTTCTTTTCACATGTTTGGATCAATGTGTTCTCCTTCGATCCAAACATTCAATTCGGCTTTTCTGGCTGAACTTTGCGAATCTTGGCATCTGGTCGGGGACCTGAAGGCGTTCTCTCACGACTCCACCGTGTGGCGTTCTCACCGTGCAAGCTTTCAGTACTCCACCGCGGTGCCTCAGCGTTTGGGCCCAAAAGGTAAGGGATCAGCCAGCGGTACTCCACGGCGCCACCTGAAGCACTCGCTGAGACCGTGACGTGGAGTGCTGCGAGACTGTCCGCGATGTCCGCTTCGGGGGGCGAAGGGGAGCTGGCACCGTGCCGTGACAGCAATTGCGCTTCAACAACGGAAGGTAAGCAAGCACCCGGAATATCATGTCTTAGCTACCGTCCGGAAGAATATATTAGATATTTATAGATTTATATGTTTCTTCCAAGGAGCTGTTCAGGGGCACTCCTTGCAGCATCTCCTATCAGCAAATAATTTCCGGAACATCCCTGACACCGGACCTAGCAAACTCGTGTGCCGTTTACAAGAGATGCCGTGATTTGAAGACTGCTCCAACACCTATGCAAAAACATGTGGCAAATGCTACCGCAAGACTAGCTTCTTGCTACTAGTAGTAATGCCGTAATGCCCTTGTTACTAGTAGCGATGCATTTGTTACTAGTCTGTGCCTTGCCTTGGATTTCCAGTCTCATCTCGCATGGCACGGCACGACATGTTGCGGCACAGCATCGAGCTTTTAGTTTTCGCCGCTGCACTTGGCTGGTTTCGGTCCTGAAGCTTCTCTTCGGGGAAGTTGTTGCCTGGTGCTTCAAGGCAAAAGAGTGTTGACATCGGGGCAGTGGGGAGATGCATTGATCTGCACATTGCACATTTCTGCCCTATGAATGGACGTGCCCTAAACAGAACCTCCGAAAAAGTTCAGCGGTCTCTCCTCACGCCCCCCCCCCAAAAAAAAAGGATCCTCATTCGAGCGAGCTCCAAACAAGCTTGAACAAGCGGGCAGTAAAGACAGGGTCTCCTTCGAAGGTCTGTCCGTTCCGACGTCAAACGCGGTTCGGTTCCGACGTCAGCTCCCAAGTGCGCCTCCCATGCGAAGGATCTCCAAGATCTTCTGCTGCGAAAGGAGGCCAGTGCCTCGCATCTTGCGGAGGATGAGTGCCGTCGGGTTCAACATTTGAACTTGAAGTCTTAACCCTATCACCACGACAATCAAACAGAAACAAACATAAGCTACCACTAGCCAGTGAAAGTTTGACACTATGTGAAACTCCAGCCTCTGGTAGGGTTAGGATATATTAGCATGATCAAGCCTCCCTGCCTTGAGGATCAAACACCTGGAAGCTGCTTAGCAGCTCTTGAGCCTTGCCGTCTGCAAAACGTCTCGGCCCGAAAAACCCGGACGTGCCCCGTGCGACCATAGGACCTGCCTATATACTTCTGGGAAACGCTTCGGCTGTTGGATGTGCTGCTATGGTTGGACAAAGGACAACGCATGACAACGCGACCGAACCCGAGAGTTTATATATCTTCTTTCTTGGCCCAGCGGTGCCGCCCACTGAGACCACTTATGAACTCGTTGAAAGCCCTTTGCTCAGCAAGAGGCCTGGTCCCTTGAGGACCAGTCTGCAAGTGCCTCCTGGGGCAAAAAGGGGTTGACGAACTGCATCGAGAAGGCAAGATTGGTGCCGAACATGTGCCAGGCGTAGAGAACTGAGGTAGTTCTTGAGTGACATGCCATGTGTTTGACCTTGTCAGTTCACGCATTTCGGCTGCCAAAAGACCTTCAACATCCTTCAACCCTCACAACATCCATCCTCATTCTGGGAGTGAGTGCAATGCTAGGTACGGCTGGATTCCAACGTCTCCGTGGGCTGCCTTGGCCCATGGAGAGTGCCACAAGTGCTCGATTCAGGAAAGGACACATGATGAGTTGATCACAAGCGGAAGTCAACTCAAACAACCAATTCGGTCCCAGCAACTGCCACAGGTGACCAATCTGCTTCCGCGTTGGAAAACATGCAAACAATAACTAAGTCTTGTTACGTGTGACCTGAGCTGCACGGATTGGCGTCCTGCATCGCCTCGGAGAAGCTCGCCCAGGTGTAGAGCTCTGCCTGGCCGCCCTTGCGGCTGAGCACCTGACGCACCTGGACGGGTGGAGAGCAGTTTTGGCCCTGATGCATCCCGGATTCTCGCAGGATCCTGCAGGGGTTGATGATTTCGAAGACTTGATTTCATTGGAGTGGAAGAACATCAAAAGATTGCTGGGTCATGGGTCGAGGCCACACGGTGCCATTTTGGTCGTGATTGTTTCTGTTTCCTTCAATGGAGAAAAGCGGACGTTGCTTTTCTTGAGCCATGAACAGCGTTGGTTGGTGTGTGTAACACCTGTGGACACATTTCGTGAAAATGCGGGGACTCACACTCCCCCTGATGGCCGTGCCATCATTTCAAAAGCCTACACCAGCCGCAGGTTTTTTCATCTGGAGCTGGGTAGAAATTCAAAGCTTCCATCCGACTCAGTCTCTTCGCCTTCTCGCCTAGCTTCATGACCAGGACGGTGGTGAATCACTTGAACCTGCTGCTTGGGGCGCATTCTCTGTCAACTGGCCAGGATCGCCTCCCATCTCCCCCCGATGCTCACGTCCTTGAAGTCTAAGCTCATAGCCCGTCATCTTGCCACCCTCGATGGATTCAATATCACAAGCACTGATGCCCCTTCCACCGTAGGTGACGCCCTCTTCTTCTGCATTCTCCGAACCCTGCAGGGCCTTTCGACCCCGTTGAGCTGCTCTTGAACTCTCTGGATTGGAGCCTCCATAGCCCCTGATTGCTGACACCGATCCCGGCGGCGGAAGTGGTCCCGGCCTGTCATCACGCCGATCGAGATTTCCAGCTCTTCCTTCTGGCAAGGCCTCAAACTTCACATAGAAGAAGGCGTAGCCACACCACTCATGAAGCCCCTCCACATCAGAGCCCCTGTTCTCCATCCAGTCGTCGGTGACGACCACACGCTTCCACACTTCTCGCGGATTTCCCCGCGAAAAAGCCACTGTGACTCTGGTCGCTGAGAGTCTTGCTACTGACATTGGAGTTCCACGATGTAGTGGATGGAAGGTTCGCACCCTAGGTTTTCTCAAAACCCTGACCCACCATTCACCACCACCAAGACCCACGCCAAGGCACTCCCATCTGTCGGTTCCCGTCGGCGGAGTGCCAAACCTCATCAGCTCCCATGGGAGATCAGTGCCAAGCCCCACATGGGTGATTGGCGCCCTCAAAGCACTCAGGCTAGGGTCGCGGCCCGATTTGGAGACAGGTTCATTTTCCCTTGTCTCTTCTTGACATTTTCTTCTTTCGACATTGCCCCCTTCGGACGCCTTCGTCCGAGCAAATGCCGGGTCACAAGCTCTTGTTAGGTCTTCTCCACCCTTCCTAAGCTACAGCTGCGATGGTCACACTTTTGGCGACCTTGGCAATCGCATTCGCTGGTTGCCAACAAGAAATGCCTATCAGCCCGCTCAGTAGCGGAATCAGTCGCTCGATCTGCGCGCAACTCTCCATCGCTTTCACAGGCGATGCCCCAGCGCACAGACCAGTGAACTCTCGGAACCTCCTCCATGAAGGCGGGCTGACAATTGACTTGGTCAACAAGTCCACCGACAGTGAAGCTCCCGGCTCATGACGTGCCTGCCAGCAGCCAGTGCGGATTCGCTCCCTTGTTCTCCACGGACCGTCCGGCGACTGCAAAATGCGAATGCCAGACTGGGAATCACCATGAAGGACGCAATCGATGGCCTCGTTCGCATCCCCACTCTCCAAGATCGCTATGATGGAGGCACAGGACTCCCCCGTCGTCAGGGCATCAGAGTACCCCATCAACTCCGCCTCTGAGCTTGACAAGGTGCCAAAGGGCTGCTGCTTGCTTTCCCATTGGATTGGAGCGCCTGAGTACATCGCTATGAGGCCTTGGTGACCACGGAACCCAGAAATACCAAATGAGGCGTCCGAGTACATGTGAATGCCCTTGTTCTCTTCCAGCTGAGGTGCATCGGATGGTGCTTCGTACAACAGGCCCAGACCCATGGTGCTCTGCAAAAACCCCAAAACTTGTGCTCCATATCGTTGAACTCGACATGGACAATGAGTCACCTGCCGCCCCAACCATGACACCGCAAAAGAAATATCCGGCCTCGATCTCACTGCCAGCCACAACATCTCCCCAACTAGAGTCTGCGCCTTGCGGACATCCGCAATCTCCGGGCTCGGCTCCTCCGTTTCATCCAAGACTCCTGGCAGCGGACTTTGAGCTGGCTTGAGATCAGGATACCTGGCCAAAAGGTCCCGCAGGTATGACTCCTGATGTAGGCGAAGTCCCTTCTGCTGCTGAGCAATCTCAAAGCCACAAAACCTCAGGCTGCTCTCTGGTGTCAACCATTCAGGAGTCGAACACTTCCACTGCTCTTGAAACCGAGCAATTGTCGATCGAGTCATGTGGAGGTGAGCAGTCACCAGGATGTCGTCGACGTATACTGCCACAAAGCCATAAACCTTGTCCGGGAGCTCTGACCTGGAAGGCTCATCAAGGATCACCTTCCATAGGTTAGGCTCTTGAGTGCGAGCCAACTTCCACCACTCTCCTTCACTAGTCCAGCGGAACTTTGCCATCTCCTCATCCCGGAATCTCGCCCAGTTGAGAGGCGCCTCCTGGAGACCGTAGAGCGAGTTTCTGACTTCCCAGACTTCGTCAGCAGCGCATACTTTTGCTTCTACGAGCACCCGAGGTGGACGGGTTATGAGCAGCCTCTGCTGAGCGTCTCTTCGTGGTGCCAGCAAAAACGCTGTTTTCACATCCAGACTTGCTATGGACCATCGCTCCAGAGCACTCTTCCGGAGTAGAGCTCTGAGAACTGTCGCATCTGCTCCTCCGGCGTATAGCTCAAAGGGCCAAGAGGTCGAGGGTGCTTCCAGCGGGTTGATCGCCTTGGTCTCCACTTGCGACTTGGTGAGATGATTTCCGCAGATGACCACCCTAGCACGATGCCGTCCGTGAGGACTCTTGACCGTGGGGACTAACATCGCTGGCGCTTCTTCCTGTGAGGGATATCTTGGATCCTTCTTCAAAGCCTCCTCCGTGGTCGGAAAGATCGCTCCCGTGCTGGTGGACAGAGAGACATACTCATCCTTGAAGGGCTCCACCCACTTATGTAGTTCCTTGCGCACTTGGGCCAGCGACACCGTGTAGGTTTGAAGAACTAACGGAGGTTTTTGATCTTCCGCCTCTCCTGAACCCCCCGCCGCCTGCAGTGCAGCCATCCTCCAACCCTCCAAGGCTCCATGTTGGCGTTGCACTCCTCCTGGACCATGAGCTGTTCTTCCAGCACCTGAAGCCATCCTCCATGTTCACTGCCCTGCTGTGCCCCCACCGCCACTTGATTCAGCTGATCCAGCCACATTCTCTTCCTCATGCCATTGCACCGCCTGAGACCACGAGCACGATTGCAAATCCGAAGCTTCCTCCCCCGGAACCTGCGGTCCATCTTGCCCTCAGTTGGTCACCTCCACAAAACCGACATCCAACCCTTTGGGATTCTTCCGGCTGCCAAAGGTCACACTCCGGGCACTTCACCATGTCACTTGCAGACTCTTCACAGCTCCATCTATTTTCTGGTTGCAAGCAAGCTCCTGGATCTGTCCCCCCCTGTCCTGAAGTGTGTCAACGCGGACAGGGCTGGTCGCTGTGCAGGTTGTACCTCCTCATACATCTGCGAAATCACGTCCTGCAATGGGTGAGGGTCCAGACCTTGCTTTCCAGTCACCCTCCTGCTGACAATGCCTGCGTCAATCTCCTGGAGCTCGAGAGCTGCTTGATCTGCTTCTGGGACCGGCTGTAGGGCAGTGCGAACGTGTTGAACACGATCTTGATGGCGAGCCACCCAGCCATTTGTCATCAGTGGGCTCGGACCAATCAGCTGCATGGAGATGAATGGGTTGACCAACTGGCGAACAGCCACTTTCGACCCAAACCGAAGCATCGGTTGCACCGGAACTCCCAATCTGCTGAGCTGCTGACGACATCTGTCCTCTGTTGCATGGCGAATCGCTCCGGGCCACAGCTCTGGTTCGACTTGGGCTTGATGAAGGATCAGCCTCATGCGTCTTTTGACTTGTCGCACTTCCGCTTCTGCACGGCCGTTGGCCTGTGGGTCGTCGCCCTGGGTTCGACACTCTTCTCGACAACATGCCCTTCTCCCTGTCGCTGTGCAATCTCATCACATTGATGCCCAGGCATCTGAACTTTGCATGAAGTCGAGACAGTCCTCCCAGCAGCGATTCAACTCCTCTATCTTCCATCACCTCCACCATTGTAACATTCTGTAGCCGATGGGGTCTTCGAAGCTCATCGATCTCCTCCCGACCACCTGCTCCTCACCCCCCTCGACTGGCAACTGATATTCTGGTTCTGGTGGATCTTGATGGCCATCACCTCTCTCATCTTCATCTTCCGGATCTTCTTGATCCAAGGAGGGAACATCCACCATCTGCTCTTCAGTGAGGTCCTCCTCCTCTTCTGTTTCCCCAGGTAAGTGGTCCGGCACCGGCAATGGCACCCTTCCCAGCAATGCATACATCGCCATTCTTCCAGTTGCAAGGTCTTTCCCAACCGGGAATGGTCCGATGATATCCACCGCCAAGGTGTATGCAGAGGACGCCGTCCTGGATCTCCGGTGTGGATTTTGTGTTCCCATCGCTTCCAGGCAGGTCCTGCAGTCGCGCCTAAACGGCGTGTGCTGCATCCGCACGTGTCGCCGCCATTGGTCCATGTCCAACCGCGCCACCTTGTGGTTCTCATCCTCCTCAAGCATCTTCCTCAATGCCAGCTGGATAGCCTTGACGAAGCCCGGCGACCATTCTGACCAGCTCCGAGATGCAGCCATCCTCTGACTCAAATCCCTGCCGACAGGAATGGTACTTCCCCCACCTTGGCAATGCTCCAGCTGCTCCAACATAGGCAAGTTCGACAACACCCCTGTCGGCTTCCTTCTTGGATGACCCGTTGATCCCTGATCGAAGTTGATCATCCTCATAGTCTCATCCTCCTCCAGCAGCTGCTGCAGTTGAGGCCACTCAAAATAGGACGGATTCTCGCGATCCTCTTCCGACTCCAAGTAGGATGCTGGATCTCTTGGTGACTCCAGCAAAAAGCCTGTCAATTGGTGCCCCTGCTTCGCCAGCTTCCAGAGTGCAATCTGCTTGAGGACCAATGTAGTGTCATTGGCAACCAGCTGCGCCTCCTTGGGAGATAGATCATCCAAGCCCCACCTCAGATCACCCCGTGCTCTCACTTTGCGAGGACCTGGAGGACCACGATTTCGCAGCCTGCTGACTGTTCTACATGGTGGACCTCCTAAAACTGCTCTGATTCGACCCTGCTTGGCCAACGAACATAGATATCCCCACACTTGAGGTGAGTGGAGATCATACCTCGACCCAATGAGCGGGTCCAGGAACAGCCATGCATACCCTGAGGGGACGGAGTCCTTCCACTTCTTCACGTTGGCCCCAGAGAACAGGTGCGCAATGATTCCTTTTGAAGTCTGATGCGTCCTCCTCTGTCTCCGGTTCCAAGGAAGGTCATTTTTTTTGATGGACACCATGACTGGCCCTTCATGAACTCCAGCAGTTTTTGCCGGAACCCCAAGAATGTTCTCCTCCCACCACTGGACGTCCTCGGTCGTGATGCTGTGGTGTCCCCCCTCCAGCTCCTCAAACTCCTTGAGCATAGCCAGAGCTGCAGTCCTCTTCATCACCGGGCAACCCCCCCCGAAGCCAACATAGTATAGGCCCCTGCCGAGGATGGTTGATTGTGCATCCATCCGCTGACCAGTCAATCCTGAAGCCATGCTGCACCAGCAAGCTCAATGGAATGATCGGCTCAACGGCATCCAAAGCCAACAAAGTGCTGCGTCCCTCCTTTCGAAACAGCGTCGTTGACCCATGAGCAAGTTCCACCTGAACTGGAATGAGGTGGCTTTTCTCACTCTACTCCGCCATTCTCAACGGATGTGTTGCTCCTCCATCCAGCAAAGCCACTTCGCCCCCTTGTTCAGTCCCTGGCTGCATCCTCGACTCCTTGATGCCTGCGTGCTCTTCAAGGACCCTGAGCTCTGTTGAGAAGTAGTCGTAGTGGCAGTCTCCTCCTTTGACCTGTCAGAAGCTTCGGTGTCATTCGCTGGCGACTCCTTGGTGGGTGACGGGTTCTTAACCTTCGCCACTTTCTTCGAATCCTTTTGATCTCGTTCACGTCGGGTAGGACACTCCCGTGACATGTGTCCTTCACCACTGCACACAAAGCACCGATTCTGCTTGTTGATGCCGTCCCAAGCATGCCCATAGGTGCATTGATCGCCTCTCCTGCAGCCCTGAGTGGACCCCCAGAACTTGCACGGAGCCTTGGGTTTCTCCTCCGTGGAGTTCATGGAATTGAACGCTGCCACCTTTGGAGCTGTCCCTCCCGCTGTTGACGTGTTCACATTCCCACATGCTGTAGGCGCCTTGAGCACCTCCATGTCGACCCAGGGCTTCCGTCACCCTGTTCAGCACTTGCACCAGCACCAAAGGGTCTGGTGTAGTCAGGCCCAAATCCTGTGCGTGCTGGATCCATCGCCTCCACTGGCGAATTCCAGACAGGACATCTGCCACCCCATGCCCCACCTTCAACTCGGTGATGCTTTTGAGGAGCGCAGTTCTCTCGGCTGAGCCCCCTGGTTGAAAGATGGTGTACAACCGGAACAGGATTCCCAGGCAGCTCACCTTTCTGGAGGCAATCACATCCCTTCGTACTTGATCAGGGAGAACCCCCAGCAAAATGGTCACTCCACGGTGCTCCACTCTCTCATGACTGGGGTGCAAAGGCCGATCAACCTTAAGCCGCAACCTCTAACGGCTTCAACTTCAGCCAAGTCTCATACAGCGCCTCCGCCTCCATGATGTTTGCTCGCCACCAACCCTCGCTGAGGATGAGAGGTCCGACATGAGAGGCATCGCCACCGTCAGCCAATCACCGAAAGCCAGCGAAGCTCCATCACTGCCAGGAGATGGTAGGGGTGGTAACTCCAAGCTTCTAAACACTTCGTTCACTGCCCCCCCAGGTGGTTCAGACCTGCTCAAAGGACCATCACTAACTCCTTCTTTTTGCAACCCTGGTGGACATTCAAGACCATGTAGTTGAAACCCTCGAACATCACCGCGAGCTGACTCACCCCCATTCCCTTCTCCGCCCGGTCCCATCAGACCAACCGACGGCCGCCCAGGCTCTCGGCCAGCGCCTGGCACCGACTCGAAGGATGATGACTCGGCTCCACCAGTGACCTTCTTGATCTCCTTGGCAAAGAGATTCTCGGCCTCCTTGAGTACCTTCTCCGACGTAGTTTGGTGACCTTCGAACCCCCCCCTGGTGCATCACCTCAGGCTCCAACCCACCTTCGACAGGGTGCGACCGTGCTTGTGTGCTCCAAAACGGGTTGACATTCACTCCACTCATCGGCGGTGGTGTAGCCATGGGATAGGGTTCAAGAACTCTTGGTTGTGGTCCCAACTCAGCTGCAGGCCCATAGCTCATCGGCCTTCCCTGAGGTGGGATTGGACACTGTGGTGAACCAAACATGCTTCCACGCCCTGCAGGAACCCCAGGACCGTTACCGGCAAGGTGTCCTAGATCATGGTGCTGAAGGAGAGGTGCAAGTAGTCCTTGACCTTGGGGATTCCCACCAAAAGCTCGCTGCAAAATCTCTAGGGACTGTCTGACTGAGTCCAGCAATCCCGTCGTGACTTGTCCTGTCCTGACCCATTCTGTCGGCCCATAACCTGGCTTTCTGGCTCCCTGCTTGGTCTTCTCGCTGAGGAAGTAGTCGCGGCCTGCCCTGCCTGCTCTGGAGCTGCAGCCAGCCTTCGAACCGCTGCCGTCCTCGCCGGCACCGATGCTGCTCTGCTTTCTCGCTCTTCCAGCAGCGCTTGCAGCCGCTCGTCTGCCGCACCCACTCGAAGTCGACCTTCTCGATCTCCCGGGTCTTGCAACCTCTCCCCTTCACGGGAAGATCGCCGTCGCCGCTGACCAACGAAGCCACTCATGGCGGCCAACAACCCCGAAAAAACGGAGGTGGACTTCAAATGGAAAAACAGGTTGTTGGGCTCATAACCTGAGTTTCCTTCAATGGAAAAAAGCGGACGTTGCTTTTCTTGAGCCATGAACAGCGTTGGTTGGTGTGTGTAACACCTGTGGACACATTTCGTGAAAATGCGGGGACTCACAAAAGCAGGCCAGTGTGCTCCGAAAAGATAAGTTACAAGGGATCAAGGGATTCAAGAAGGGACTGGTTGTATCAGGTTGTATCCAAAAGACATCAAACCATAGTGGAGTTTGCCACTCCCAGCTGCCTCCGCTTCTGTTGGGTTCAACCCAGTCATTCGCATGGCATTTGCCATCTTCTCGGCTTTCATCATATCTGGAGCATCCTTGGTGTCTGAACTTGTCTCCAAGACTCAAAGTGAGATTCCTGATCGTGCTTCGAAGACAGGTAAGCATGACACTTCAGCTGGTTCAGAAAGTTTGAATTAATATGATATGTCCTGTCCGATCAGGCAAACATGCCTACCGGTCATGATTAATTATTTCGGAGTAGAAAGAAGTGAGTTCCAGGGGCGAGGCCTGCAATCTCTGGAAAATCTGCCACAACCAAGCCTCGATACGCGGCATACGCCACACGACGAGGTGGCACGAGGCTTTCCACAAAGAGCCTGTGCGTCTAGGTTTGCGACCCGCCGTTTGGACAGCCAACAAGGCTACAAGATTGACCTACCTGCAGCCATCCTGCAACGAAGCTCCATGGTTGACATTCTCAAAAAGAAGGTCAAGGAAGCCCTTCCAGTTAGTGCAAAAGTCTGAAAGATTGTCTTCCCGTCATGCTATGTCAAGCTGCTTATCTCTGTCATCCGTCTTAGAACCTTGCATCATCTTGACTCATGGCGGTCACCGTGAAGCTTGCGAACTCCGCCTGAATGGTTTGGCGGTCCGCGTCTAAGGATCTTGAGCGCTGGAGTTCAGTCAGTGGACCTGTGTTTCAGTTTCCAACACTTGGAATGAGAAAATCATTGAGAAACTGTGCAGAGCTCAAGTCTTGAGGTAAACGTCGGCTAGGCGTTTCAATTCGACAGTGATGTAGATACATATATGATCTATATACTATATTGTATAATATATGTGCTTCCGTATGTTATGCTTCTGACACGACCTTTACTTGTGACATCTTCTGACAGTGTTTGGATGCTCTCAACTATCAATGAGGCGGGAGAGAAGGAGTGAAACGGGAGCCATCAACTGCAGTCAGACTCGTCTCGAGGCCGCGGCCACAGGAGGTGTCAGCCCCAAGACTGGGTCAATTGCAAGGGCCGACTTATGTATCTCTGACTCCCTACAAGTTACCTGTACCCATGGCTCCTGCGTTCTCAAAGCTGATGGAGTGCTGTGCAAGTGGAGACTTGACAAACGACTTTATTCCTCGAAGCTACTCGCATTCTTTCAGCCTGGCCAAAGTCCAGGGCTTTTTGAGCCAAGCACGGCCCACCCCACGACCCACGGCCACCCACCTTACTCTCTCTACAACACGTGGCAAACAAGTCACAACGGAGTAAGCTCTCAGGACATACCCTATTTCCAGCCTAAAGCTACAACGGTCACAACTGAGATCTAAATCTACGGTATTTGTCGAACATCAAACTGGAGCTCTACACTACAGCCCCGCTACGTCCTGTGGAGATTCTCACTGGGATTTCTCTCAAAACTTCTGAGAACCTTAAAACGACTGCTACCAAGGGTTTCCATTGCATCAATTTCCATCTATGGTCCATGGCCTGCCACTCTGTCGCCGGTGAACACGGGGACCATTTCTGACTTCCGAGAGATGAATCCAGACTTGTGCGGGACAAGAAAAAGTTCACATGATTTCAGAACTGCTTCACATTGTCAACGTAAACATCCGAAATCACATCCTCAAACAACCCCAAGAGCCCTTCCGGGCCAGCAGCGGCTCGCGGATTGAAGCTCTTTCACCTCCGCGGCTGCGCTTAGCCCTTATGGCTGCGCCATGAAAAGGGTCCGTCGAGCTGCGGCTTACTCCAAGAGCTGGTCGATGAGGAGCTCCAAGAGCTCCCAGCCTCAACGAAGGAGTGCTCCCATCCTCCCCAAACTCCTTCCCTCCTACCGGATCTGATGGCTCTGGGATGCCTTTTTCCAATGGTTTTGGGCATTTTAAAGCCATTGTAGCGAGCTCGGTCTGGTGGCTCCAGTGCGCTCCAGGGTCCAACGGTAGTTGAACATTGCGTAAGAAACCACGGCACAACATGTCAGCAACATGTCGAGTCTAGTCCGTGGATGTCTTCCGACCTCCTGCCTACCGTCTTCTACGTTCTAAGTCTGGGAGATGCCGAAGCCCGCGATGGGTAAAGCTAGCAGCTAGTGAGACCGAGGGTGGGGCGTGCAATGAAGTCAAACCCACGGCCAATGGTGTAAACCACATCGTCAAAAGCCACCGGGTACCTTGGACACGAACGCTGACGCCTTCCGATTGCGCGATGTCGACTCAGTCCTTTGGAACCAACATGTTTCATTCGTGCGAGCTTCCTTGAAGCGTGAGCTATCCTGCGTCCATACTAGTAGCTTAAGTAGCTAACTAGTGCCCTTACCTAATCAAGTAGGCACCTACTCAATTAAGTAGGGAGGGGGAAGGGGGCTAAGACAAAAGACTCTTTTGAAGCACGACTTGTCCATACGACCACCTGTGCACCTGGTCCGCCGTTCTCACACTCCCAGCCGGAACGCGCACAGCTGAGAATGCGTACGGTGCCCACCGCAGCCCGCAGCCCAAAAGAAGCTCTTCCGTCTCGCAGGTCACACTGCGGCCCGGACCCACCTGCGAGACTGGCGATGGGAAAGGTTCCTGCCAGTGAGCAGGACACACACACACTTATAATATATATATATAATATAATATAGTATAATGTAATATAATATAGTATAATATAATATAATCTATATATATATATATATATATTTATATATATGTGTATTACACACACTGGCGCGGGCCCGGCCACTTCCCACCACTTCGCGCTCCCAAGCGCGTCTGCTTCCTTTTCCAACTCTCCAAGGTCAACGAGGCGTCCTCGCCTCCAACGAACAACCGGCGGTCCGCCGCCACGACGCTCTATGGCGTGCCACGCTCGTGCCAACCAAGCCCCCTGACTTTCGAGCCTTGATGGCGTTGGATCAAATGCATCCCCTTCCACTCCACGAGTGACCCTCCGGCATCTGACGAGATCGAGCGACCGATGGCAATGTGGCGTCACAAATCAACATTCCTAAAATTTTCTCTTCTTTAAGAGTTCTATAACAAAAACATGCAAGGCTTTGAGATTGGCTCACTCTTGAATCTCGGCTGACAGGGTGACTCCAAGTGTTATTATCCCCTGTAATCATTTACAGATTACTTCCCACACAACATTGACACACTTGCGAGTTCACGGGGGCTGCCGATTGGATCCACGCTTGCCTCAGACGTTTGTCTGATCTTTGCTTGAGGACTTCTTCGACATCACGAAGTCGACATCTTCCGTGTTGGAGGAAGGTTCGCATCACTGTGGTATCCATATCTTTCGTGAGCGAATCAGCCATCTGTGCTGCGCTATGTACCCATTTAATTAGTATCCCTTCTTTGAGTCTGTCTTTTATCACCAAGGCCTCTAAGAGTGTTCGATACTCTGAGCATGATGGGACTGCCGTCTTTTGAAGAAGGTCAAAAAGGCTTTTGCAATCTACCACAGCAAATGCTTGTGGGAGCTTAGTCAGGGTTTCGGCCGGTGTCCTCCATTCGGTTTGCGGGTCTAGCATCCAGCTCCAGTGCAATCGAATCCAACTTAGTTGATCGAGTGCTCCTGAGAGTGCATAAGTTTCAGATGCTAACGTGCTTGACACTACCCGTTGGATTTTCTTAGAGCTCCAGACTAGAGGGCTTACCCTGGACCCTTGTGATTCTTCTACCTTTGGGGTGGTAGCTAGAATAAAGGTTCCTCTTTGGGAATGCGCCCTTTCTCGAGTCGCGAATGCGGCATCCGAAAATGACATGAACCTCACCTCCCCAGCTGGAAGTGATTGTATTCGGATTTGGACATCGGCATGGCGTTTTGTGTCATCTAGTAATCGGTTTGCTTCGAGCAAGTCTCCGATGACAGCATTTGGAATCTTAGCCTGGAGCAGGCTCAGTCGGCATGACACATCTGGGCGTGTATTTGTGGCAGCATATTGGAGGCTTCCAATCAATCCTCGAAGGCCCTGAATTTCTTCCTTTGTGGCAAGTGTTTTGGTTTCTTTTCGTCTTTCCCGTGGAATGTCAATTGGGGGAATATTCTTTACATACTCGGTCTGATTGAGGGTGATGTCCCCTGATGCTTCTTGGTTGACTTGGATTCCGGTGAAAACGAATTTTTGGGTCTTCTTACTCCCAAATGGGTATTTTCTTTCCAAGGCATCAATCGCTTTCTCGAAGATTGCGTCCCCCCCACAGATTCCATCGTCTACGTGTATTCCTAGAACTCCGTGGATTTGACAGGGGTCGTGGGACTGTCGTTCATGAGTCTTCTTTGGTAGGATGAACAAGCATGGGTCAAGAGGTGACACCAGGAAATCCAGTCCTAATAGTGCCTTACGAAGCTCGGCATACCAAAGCAGTGGTGCATTGACCAAACCGTATGCTCCCTTCAGGAGTTCACATGTTTCATTGCTTTTGAGGCCTAGCTTTTGGCGAAGTTCCTCTGGCGGTTCGATTGCAAGGATTCGATCATCCTGTTTGCTTCCTCTCAAAAATGCAGTTGCGATGTCGAATGATCTTAATGACCATCTTTGGGACGCAATCATCTGGAGGGCGAGCGTCCGGCTGTCCCGGCCAAGGGTGGGACTATCCCGTTGCACACTGTCCAGGTCGGGATCTTCATATCCAAGGACGACTAATCTTGCCTTCGCCTTTCGCTGTTTTCCTGTTTCTTGAACTGTCTGTTCATCGAGTGGTTTCCAGGTCAGGATCCAACGCGTTCGCAGGATCTGGTGTTCAGGTACCTGGCTCCTAAGGATTCGACGAATGGTCTCGGTCGAGATCCACTGATTGAGTTCTTTCTCTTTGGCTTGTTCGAATTCTTTTCGTTCGCTAGCTGACAGATCTCTCATTCTTACTTCGATCTTCTGTCGCTTGGCGGCTGAAGCAATGAGTGCAATTTGTTGCTTTTGGTTTACTTTTCTGCACCTATTGATTTCAGCAGTTGTCAACATGATTTCACATTCCACTCCGGTGGGTTTGCTATCTTCTATGGGTGGAGTGGGTGCTCGAGTTTGAAGATCCTTCCCCTTCAGTGGGTCTACTTGGAAGACAGTTTTTCCTGTCCACACACTTGACACACAGTCGTGGCTCACCACCGAGTCTTTCCACACGTCTTGGTGATGTACTGGCTTGCCATGCTGAGTTTTCCCTAGTGTCAAGCGATGTCCTTCCAAGGCCTCTACTGGGATGGGACATGATGGATCGTCAGTGGGATGAAAATACCTCATTCGTGGGTTCACATGGTGTCGAATCAATTTGTTCCCTACGACCTGCCAGTGATCATGCACCATATTCGTGACCACCAGGCTGTCATCATCATCTTCTGGCACAG